AGAGAGACAGCATCACATGGAAACACAAACCAGAGATGTCCAGGGAAACACTTAAAACCATATCTGATGCAATTTAGACATGTTTGAACATGATCTAATCTGCCTTTCATATTTATAGGGATTATATTCATCTCAGCTGCTGCAGACTTTCCACCATGGAGGTGCGTGTTGAGATTTACGACAAAAGGTATGAATTATCATGAGGGGATTAGAAGAAAGTGACTCTTGAGCAGAGAAACGTGAACATGAGAGTGGACAAACAGGATATCGTCGACCGAAACATACTTTTCCTGCTCAGTCGAGCTTTTTTTTTTTTAGCTTTTCAGAAATGCAACACAATGACTTGAAACAGCTGCTGAGTAGAAAACACTATTGTGTTGCTAACCCACTGGTTTCTTCCAAAAGAAAAGAGCTCTTAAATAGAAACTCAGGAATGCCAGGGTGTGACTAAGGTTTATTTAAGCCAAACACAGCATACCAAAACTGGACTTGAAGAAAAGCCTCAACAGATACTGGAATGTAACACAGAACAGGCAGAGATTTTCAACATGCGATTTCTAAGTTGATGGGTTATTTTTTAGAGCCATTTTATTTGGGCCAAATGCTAAAATTCAAACATTGATTAGTTTGTGTTTTACTGATGAAAAACACACACATACGCACTTGTCGTCATATAGGAGTGTTGGTTTTACAGTTTCAATTTGGGTTTTTTCATCATCAAGTGAAAAGATTCTAAATGAGAAAGTTAAATAGGTAGCTTTCATGTAACACTTAAACAAGTTCATCAAAGGTCTTATCAGCCTCATTTGAGCATAAGTGGGAGGATTGCAGAAATTATGCTGGAGGCCCAACTTTCCAGAAGGAAATCTCAGAAAAATAAATGAATCTGATTTTATGCAATGTGCCTCACTAAAAAGAACATGACGCATATCTATATGCATTTCTTGCTAAAGGTCTCTTTAATGTTGATCTCTTGTGGATCACCAACCGACCCGACTGGTTTCTCTGATTCATGCACAGCAGAGTAAGCTAATTAGTGTTATAACCGTAGCTCGCCCCTAAAAATATCTAAACCAAAAAAATTATTAAGTCAGTGTGGATTGAATGCCGAACATAAACTTTATGATGCGAGACATTTTCAGCACCAAATCCTTAGAGCAGGAAGTATCTGCCATAGAGACAAGGAGAGATTTAAGAGTCATATGGCTACAAAACCCTGATTTACATGGAGTCATAAAGACCTGCCTTATCTAAGCCTCTACTTTTCTAATTAAATTCACACCAATGATCTTAGGCTTCCGGAAAAAAAAAAAGTCAATATCTCTTTGAACACAACATTGTTGATTCTCGTTCAACAAGAACTATTAAACCCAAAGAAAGAGTGCTGCGTCTTTGTACGAATGGCTAACAGTTTTAATGCATTTTAGAGACGGGCTACAAACTTATCCACCAGCAAAATCTTTCACCTCAGGTTTTACACAAGCTTTAAAACAAACTAACAAACCAGACAGTTAGTTTGTATAATGCTTGACAAAACGTGGCTAGAACAATGGCTAAATTAATGCTGTATTTATTAGTCATGCTTTAAGGCGGATTAGTGCAGTACTGCCACAAAAAGCCAACTGTAATATGTTTAATGTTTTATATATTATGTTTAATTCACTGACTGATATTTGCATTGTTTTTTTTTTGCTGTTGTTTTTTTTTTTTATGTGGCTTATTCACAGCACTTTTAATGCTGAGCTACAAATCGTGCTTCTCAATGCCACCACCAGCTTAAAGGCCAGGGGAACATTTAAGGTCTGTTAAAGGTCAACAAGCATTATTACAAGAGGGCATTTTTATCAGCAGCACATCTTAAGATTGTCAAAGCACCAGTTTGCTGTGTCGCTAGGCCACTTTGCTTTAATCCTATGGCTTATTCGGTTTAGTTTTTAAGGCTCTATGAGGGAGTTACGTGCAAATTCTCAGTGACAGTTATGAATCAGTTGGTGTTTGACTGGAATTGGGTTCCATTGCTCTAAACTGATTGCATTTATGACTATGCAGCAGGTTACGAAAACGATGGCATAGCACTCAAAGGCTGATTTATCTGGGTTTTTGTTCTTAAAAGAATTTGTCATCCTTGGCCACAAAATAAGAAGAGGAGGGGGGTGTTGGAGGTCGACAGACATGCTGGTGCTTAAGAAATTCAATTAAACTGACAGTGGGATGTCTGTAAAAGCCTGCCTCTCTGGGGCTTCTAGGAGTCTTCTAGGAGCCCCCACCTTGCCTCTTTCAAGCTTCACAACCAACCCCTGACTGCTATTCTGCCACTCCCTCTAAAACCCCAAATATGCTTAGAACCCCTTCCTTAGGCTCCTTCGACCACCCAAAATATCGTCATTTTCCAATAATTGGACCAAAATTATTGGACCAAAATAGCAGAAAACCATCCAGAAAAGGTGCGAGGCCCTGTATTCAAACTCTATATAACCATGTCTTCTTCCTATCTGACTGTATATGCATCTCGCAAGCAGACAGATGCTGTTCATTTAACATTTGAGTGGCAATCCCGGAGCTTGTGTCCTAAATGCCCCAGGGAGCCTGTGGCATTTGGACAGCATGGAATAAAAGCCACTCCAGACCTCACACCATGGGGGGAGAGATCCAACCTCACAACATGGTCACTCCTCTCAGATTTCAGGGCAGCCAAGTGAGTAAATCTCTGCTGGTAAAAAAAAAAAAAAAGACAATTTTCCTTCCAGTCTGGCATGAAAAAAAAAGCATGTGTCATGACTAGGTTCTTATCTGAGAGAGAGTTGTTAGGAATCATTCACAGAGGAGAAAAACATTGTTTTGATTCATTTGTTTCCTCTCACTGCAATCTAACCTGCAACAAGCAGCAAGTTGGCATCATGGGAGGGATGCTTTGTTGCTCTTATCAAAAAGCATCTTAACAGAAATCGAATCGGTTCTTCCCAACCAAATTCAGCTTTCTACAAAGATGACAGATTTGTGAGGCTCAGCCTTGTAATGTACCATCCTCGTTACTAGAGAACTGATTCCATTATTATTTTGAAAAAATAGCACCTTTCTAATGAAATTACCTTCTTTAAAATATTTATATTCGTACAGTCTCTCACAAATGAATGCATTTCGCCAAATATTTTCACAATTCACATTCAAACTCCATTTTAAGAGATAAGCCAAGATAATATAATCATAATTATTATTTACCTAAAAGTAAAGAAAATAATAAATTTAAACCTAAAACCATAGTTTTAAGGCTAAGAAAATATGCTTTCAGCAATAAAGCAACTTGGTTGCAGACCCATATAAAAGCGACAATTTAAGATTTTACCAAAACCATGTCATGACCATTTTAAACCTTTTATTATTTGAACAACTAGCTGCACTAAATATTTTGCTCACATTGAATGCATGCTACTTGCAGTACAAGCAGGTTTTCTTTGTTGTTGGCAATATTTATAATGACTAAAATGTATTGACCGAGGTAACATATTTTGCAGCCTTAGCATATATTCAGCTTTTCTGTAAGGCCATCTAAGCAGACCTGTTTAGTTTTGCCAGATGATACCCAAATTTAGCTTTTAGACAAAAATGGAATATGCATGCATGTTTTATTTAACTAAGACATTTTTAGGAACAAATATTGAAGCAAGTGAGGAGAAATATTAATATTTAGGGATATTTTTCCTAGAAGGCACAGAGAAGCTAGTAAGAGTTGATTCGATGCAGCTGAAAGAAGGCCAATCCTGGAAGCAAACCGGTTAGAGGCTCCAAAAGACATGGCCGAGGTAGAGGTTCATCTGAAACAGGTCAACAACCCTCAACATAAAGCTATAGCTAAAATAAAACTACGTAGGCCTACATCAAAGCATATTCATGCATTGGAACGGCCTAATCAAAGTCAATCTGAGTGAGCTTAAGTAATTATAGTAGAACATTTCCCTCCCTGGATGTGCAAAGCTGGTAGAGAGAAGCCCCAAAAGATTAGCATCACAAACTAATGTTTTACTCGGGTGGGCTGAATTCAGTTTTAAGCCACACTTTGGAAAACAGGCTACTAATTTCCTTTCTTTTCATAATGATGTGTTACATCACGTTGCCTTTTCATGTACGTTTCTGGTTGTTGCAAAACAAAATAGTACATGTGCATGGCACTGTACAGCGCCCTGTGTCAAATCCCTTGGGTCACACACTGTCACACACATCTGATGAAACAGCAGCTCAGAACGGATCTAGCACACCGCAGAAACAATAGTGACGTTACATAACAAGAGCCGAAAACTGTCCCAACTGCTGCACATGACAACGTTTGGATTAAGGGCTCTCTCAGCTCTCTCATCGTGCACGGTTTCATTTTTTTGAATCAGTTATCTGCACGGCTTTATCAACAGGTTCCAGGTACGTCTGATAGTTAACATGTGCCCATGTGAGCTGATCAGAGCCCACACCTACATGCTGCTGCCCTGTTCTTATAAATCAAAATAAACCCTCAGCTAGACAGAGGGCTTTTTTCCCCTCCAGTGAAGCAGAGTTTATTCCTTTTGCCAAGCAGATCACAGGGAGCCAAGCGCGGCTTAGTATTCTCATGTCCCATCATGGCATTTGTGGCTTTTTGGCCATGTATTTAGGTCTTGCAGGGACACTGATTTCTGGACCTGTGCCTGCATGTCAAACGGGCCCAAAGAAAGAGGAAAACTCCCCCTCCACAACAGAAACTGCAGTGATCATCAGTGCCTCGTCTCAAAATATTAGGCCTTCTTGAACCAAGAGAATCTAGTGCCCTGACAAATCTGAAAGGATGGGCTGGTTTAGCACTGAGAGGCAATTTTAGTTATCCAGCAGACACCTTTGCCCCCCAATCAGGATGCGACTGCAAAGTCGAATCAAGAAACTAAGTGGCTATCCTTAATAAGTTTCATTAAAACATTTAGAAAAAGGAACGTCTGTTGAAAGCCGAACTAGGAGATTTCAACAATGACTTCACTCACCGTTCAATCCATTAGGGATGCTCCTGTGGTGATGGGGTGCAGACAGATCATCCATTGACCTCCTCATGGTGGGCATCTTACTGTTCTCTGAGGGTTTGTGTACATGGTTGTGGTGATCTGGGCTGCCGGCGCTCCCTGTGCTGGACGTGCTGCTTCCATCTCCAACATCTCTGACTGTCCCAGCTCCACCGTTCAGGTTGCTGAGGCTAGACTGGCTGTCTATGGAGCTCCTGGAGCCAGCCCCGTTCCTCTCCTCATCCAGCATGAGGATGATCTCCTTCAGCTCAGAGTTCTCCCTCAGCACACTCTCCTGGTTGGCCTCCAGCTCTTTTAGCTTCATCATGTAGGCACCTACCTCCTTCCAAATGGCGCTGGCAGTGTAGCGGCCGAAGCGCTGCCACTCCCTGGACAGCTTCTTGCCCTTCTGCCTGTCATCATCCAGGAAGCAGCAGAGCTCCCGGAGCTCATGGTTGTCATCCTGCAGCTTCTGGTTGACCTCTTTCAGACTCCTGATCTCATGCAGGTGCAGCTGCAGCCGTCGGTTGATGTCTTTCATCATGTTGCCATGCTCAATCATCAAGTTCATTTTCTCCACATCCACCTTCCTTAATTTCCTCACCAGCTCCTCTTTGCTGAACCGCAGCAGGTCATCATCAGTCATCTGGCTCAGGTCATCTTTGGCCCCCTCTGAGGGATTTTTAGCCATGACTGTAATCTAAATCTCAGTGTGTGAATACTGCTGCTTTCAACTCACTGTGAGAACCTGAATTAACCCAACCTGAGCTGAGGGATGGTATTGGAAAACGAACACATTGTCCAAACTAAAGCTCCTGTGGTAGATTGAAAATATTAATTGGATGCTATGACAACCTGTGCATGGGCTGAAAGCCCTCCCTCCCCAGCCCCTTTGGTTTGGTAAATAAAAGCCTAACTGGACCTCAAAGCCAACTGTTGGTACTCACATTTCTCCAGTTATTACTGATAATGCTGAGATATTGATTCAGAGATATTCCCAGTGTGGTCCGAATCCAATCAGCACAGCGCGTCCCTCAGCTTAGACATCATCCTCGCAGGACATCACTACACACAAGTGATAGGACATAAATAATACCAATAAAAAGAAACAGGATGGTTTTTTGGGGCGGATTTAAAATCGGCCAGCTTTAAAGCGAAATCAGTCCCGTTTCTTTCCCCTTCCCTCCGTCTGGAAGCGGTTAGACGTCAGAAAAAGCGCTGCTCCGCGAAATAGAAATCCCTGTCTTGGCTTGCCATATGAGAGCGCTTAGTCTCTTTCAACTTGACCACTTCCCAGCGAACACCTCCCCCCTCTCCTCTTCTGTGTCCAAAGTCTTCGGGTTTGAAATCATTCAAGAGGATTCGGCTCCAGAGGGCCAATCAAGACAGAGCAGAGAGGCAGGCAGCAGGTAGATGAAAAGTGCGCCCCTCACGCAGAGCGCTGGAAGCTCTGCCCTCTTAAAGCAACAGCATGGAACGTTCACGGCCCCACGGAAAAACTGAAGAAAACAATAATGATTGTATCCAAACATGCCAAAACTACGAGAGAGGATTAGAGATACTGAAAAAAAAAAAAAAAAGACAGATTTTTCGAATTTTATTTCAGTTTAACGAGAATTCTGATTTTAATTAATCTCAGAATTCTGACTTTTTTCTCAGAATTATACTTTAATCCCAGGATTTGACTTTTTTCCTCATAATTCTGACTTTAATTTCAGAATTCTGACTTTTTTCACAGAATTCTGACTTTTTTCTCAGAATTATTACTCTAATCCCAGAATTTTGACTTTTTTTCTCAGAATTCTGACTTTAATCTCAGAATTCTGACTTTAATCTCCGAATTTTGGATCCTAATGTAAATGGGCACCATGAAGGAAGAGATGTGGGAGCACGCAGCGTCACTGACAAAGATGTGAGTTGTTTGGAAGGGCCAGTAACACATTGGTGGAAAATTAAGAAATTAGGCGACTTTTTACGTGATGCTATTTAACACAAAGATGCTATTTAGTTAATGGAAGGGTAGAAGGTGATTAAAACAAGAGAGCTAGTTTAGTATTTAAAACAGACATGGCTTTTGCTACGGCTTGATGCTAACATGTTTGTTGGCTGTCAGAATTTGGTCAGAATTCTGAGATTTAAGTCAGAATTCAGAGAAAAAAAGTCAGAGTTTTGAGATTAAAGTCAGAATGTTGAGGTTAAAGTCGGAATTCTGAGATTAAAGCCAGAATTCTAAGATTAAATAATAACATTAATAACAGTAAGTTAGCCATTATATACAGGCAAAATGTGTGGGTGTATATGAAATAAAATGTTTGTCAGTTGATTAAATTCTTTTGAGATTTTAAAGCTCAGTAATGTTATTTCAATTCCCAGTATTCATAATTTTTTTAAAAACATTTGCTCACGTACTGTCCTTATCTGCACAGGATGGGATGAGTAAATAGCAAAAAACAGAACTCCATAAAAAGGAAAAATACAAATCTGAAATATGAGAATGTTTAAGTGCATATTTTTTTGCTTTCACATGAAGGTTCTACAAATCTCAACAATTTTTTATTTCTTATTTTTTTTCTTTAATATGCTGCTTATACTGAAGCCACAAAAAAATTACAGACCAATGCTTCTTTGTTAGGATTAGAATAATTTTTCACAAATTTGGGTTTTAAAGAATGTATGGTGAGTATAATGGATTATTCTGGATTTGACCTCTTCTGAGTCTTACAGATTTTTTTGAACAGAGAAGATAATTGTAAGCTAGATTTGTTAAAAATAGTGAAATAGCTCTTTGACCACTTGTATAGAACACAGGAATTATGTCAAAATCCAGCATTGAGAACAGCCGGTTACAACAAAGGGAGTGCCCCCTTCCCATTGACAGGAACATGCAACCGAACAATTAACACCTTGTTTCAGTCAATTGCTCCTGCTGCCCCTCTGATAAAGGGGCACCTAGGGTTAGGAGTAAAAAAAACAAAAAACAATTACATTGAATTTATTTTTGTAATTGCTTTTTATTTCTGTGAAATAATAATATGATAGTGTCTTTTAAAATCATGAAGTTGTGAAAATGTACAAATTTCAGTTTAAATTGAACATTTAGCCAGAAGAATGGCTAAGCTAACTTACAGGAAAATTAATCAAAAAAGAAGATTGTGTATTTGGTTATTCTTTATTCAAACAAAAAGAAAATAATTGAAAAGAACAGAGAACAATAAGGTAAAAGGAGAAACTTTTTATGTTTATTCCATTTCAGTGGATTTTTTTAAAGCAATTTAAGAGATGGTGCAAGTTCTGCAACATGTTTCAAAATTAAACATTAAATTTGGGGTCTGAATCAAAATCTGCTTTGTATAAATTGATATACAAAAAATAGTGTTAACACCAAAGAAATAAGCCAAAGGTTACCATTGAAAAGAGAAAATGTACTGTTTCTTTGGATTTTTCATTTGTCACATTAAACAACAATAAATATTTTACATCTAAACAAAATATAATCTAATTTACTTGCATTTCTAAAATATGTTCAGCATCCAGTGCAATTAAACAAATGCTATCCATCCATTAATTTAAAGAGATCACAGCGCCCCCCTGTGTAGATTGCCCATAATGGTAAGGCTTTAGTCAAATTATAGGAAACTGAAGGCATCATACAGAGCATAGTGCAAATATATAGATAAATGTACTGTTCATTACCAACATATATTGATTAAGTCAGCAGTAAAGCAAGAGATGCAGTTTTACCACAAAAACAATTAATTCTGTTGTAAAGTTTTGTTTTTTTTGTGCTTATTTTTTGTATTTCCTGTGTCTGATGGTACAGATCACTCCACTCTTTGGCTTCAGGGTGCCGGTGTCCTCTATGTCAAAGGTCTGATCCGGGACGAGGTTGAATTCAAACCTCTGAAGCAGTTTTGCCATCACCACCTTAGCTTCCATCTGAAAATTCAAGGACATTTTTACTTTTTTTTTTACCAAAGTCTATGTCTTTGTAATTGTGCTGACACTTTATGGTCATTTCTATTTGAATGACTCACCTGAGCAAAGTTCAACCCTAGACATGAGCGTGGACCAAGAGCAAAGGGATAGTAGCAGTAATAAGGCCTTGGAAAAAACAAGATAAGATAAAATGTTTTATTCTTTCATCTTGCATAGAAAAAATGAGCAAAGTCACTCTTTAAAAATAAGCATTATTTTGGAGTTGTGTTTTACATACTTTGGAGCATCTGGATGAAATCTGTCTGGATCAAATTTCAGAGGATCCTTGAAGAACATTTCCATCCTCCCAGTAGTATAGGTGCTAAACTGAAAATTAAAGTAATATGTCAAAGTTAAGAAAAAAAGGAAGCTCCAACTTTAATGGATTGCTTCGTCTGGTAACAAGTAATTAAATCAAGTTCATTCAACTTCATTTTTAGGATTTTGAGTTGAAAACGTAAAGTTGGGCAAACTGAACTCGATTACTTGTTACCAATAAAACGGAATAAGTAGGAGCCGTATTTTCTCTTAAGAGTATAACAAGGAAGATGCAGTTTTTATTATTGTCAAAAATTAAACCAGACTATCAGTTCCCTTTTTAAGGTCAGCTAGGATTAGCCAAATTGCTTACATTGCCTTTTTGCAAGATGAGAGATAATTTTTTACGTGATTTTTTGGACATTCTTTACATTCAATAGTGTACATTGTACAGTGTAATTAATTTACGCTGCCTTTCCACAAATAGGGAAACTCCAGATATTAAAATAATGTTGCTTTAATATGCTGGTGCAGATTCTCAGTCATCCAGGTCATAGTCATTCCTTCTTGCTATCATCACAAATCCCACCCACATACAGGGGACCAGAACGTCTCCCCTGTTCAGCCAGGCCAACAATTCCCCCTAATGACCCTCATTTCAGAGGCTTAGACCAGTATCAGGTATTGGAGGCTTTATTTTGCATGTTAATGGGAGAGTGGCGGCCTAGTGGTTAGCATAGAGCTTGGAATCCTGAGGTTCTGAGTTCCAACCTAGTCGAGAACCCTTCCTGGATGGGAGGCGAAACATCTTCAGACTTGGAAACAAAGTCAAGTTAATTGTTTTTTTTTATTATTTTTTTTTTTTTGGAACCGCACATGACAAGTTATGTATTTCTTTTTAAGTCCACTTGTAAATTATGTGCTTGGTCTATCACAGTAAATCCCAATTAGACATGCAAGTTTATGGTTTTTATAGAGGAGATAACATTCAAGTGGTTGGAAGACTCTTAGAAGGCACCATAAAGTAGATGTTGTGTTTCCACCAATGATTTGCAAAGTCATTCATTGAAACAACCTAATACAGTAACACCTTTAGTTTTTGATTCTTATTTGTGTTCTGATGAAACACCTTTTATAGCAAGACTTACCACACCACTGAACCCTCCAGGTATGTGAACACCATTGATTATCATGTCTTCCTCTATGTCACGGGATGTTCCTGGAGCAGTTGGATAGATCCTCAGAGTCTCTTTGAGCACCTATAGAACAATAATAGACACATCAACAAAACGTCTTAAGGTTAAAAAAATAATAATAATAACAAAAAAGTGTTTAAGGAAGAAGCTTTTAAAAATTACCTGTGAGAGATAGACCAGTTTCCCGAGGTCATCATTGCTTATTTCTTGTTTCATCCCAATAACATCATCCACTTCTTTCTTTGCTCTATAAGTTTCAAACACAACATAAAACATAAGGTTCACCAACTATACCAAAAGGAATGGTGAACTTTAATTTAGTTCTTACTTCTCCAGGATTTCAGGATGTCTTCCAAGTTCCATGACGCAAAAAGCGAGTTGATTGGCTGTTGTTTCTTGACCTAGAAAGGCACAATTTTAGCAAAACTGAACCAAAAGAATCATGTTTAAATGATCCTGAACTAAATATAGATGGTTATACAAAAATTGTGGGTATGAGGGGTGTTAAAAAAGATCATAAGTTAAATCTACCTCTAAATGTGATTTGGTCAGGATGACAATTTGTGGGCCACCAATCCTAAAATTTCTGGCTGATATTAACCAAATATGTGGCAGAAAACTCTCACGAGGATTTATTAATCAGAGATAATTCTGGTTATGTGGCTGTATATGGATGACAGGCCTCCTCCTTTTAAGCAGCAGTAGGTAAATTAGGCTTTGGAAAATAAAAACCCTGCCTAGTTGTAGTCCAGAGCATCCAGAAAATGAGTTTTCTTTTCTTTATCCTCTGTATCTCTCATTTTATTATGAAATTATTCACTTTAATGCATTTTTTTTAGGATTAAATCATACCTTAGTATGTGGGGATAAATCCATAAACCAGCCATATATTATTAAATTAACGTAGGGCAGGATTAGTCTATGTTTAACCCAGCAGGTCTAGGAGTAAAGAAAGCATCATGTCCACAGAGCACAATGGGGATATAAAAATACTTACCTGCAATAAAAAATGTTATAAAATTGTCCAACATAAACTCCTCATCTTCTTCAGTCATGACTTCCTCTGGAACAAGGAGAAATATGATGAGTCAATGAACTGAACCTGATCATAGGGGTCAATTCATCTCCCGTTTAGTTGAGAAAATGTTTGACTTCATCCATCTTTTGATCACAACCTGTGGCTGCAGTCTTGATGATCTGTGTGAGAATATCCTTTGGAACATCCTCTCCATTTTGTATAGCCATCTTTCTCTTGTGGATCAGTTCAGCTCCAGTTTTCCGCAGAAAACGACAAGCTTCCCTCACTTCATTAACAAATTGTTTGTTCCTAGGAAAGTACTGGAACAGCAGACTGAATTTGTCACTACTTTTATTGTTAAAAAATGTGTTTTAATTTCTGTTCAATAAAAATAAAACTGTACATTTACCTCATATGTGAAGTCTCTTACATAGTGCATCATCCCTTTTAGAACTGTCTCAATGGCTTTGGGGAAAGGTGATGTATAGTTCAGGAGGTCTAACTCCATGCCAAAAGCAACCTAAGTTTGACAAAAATACATATAATTTAAATGAAGCTAGATGAACAATGTTTAAGACAGGAGTTTACCCAATTTTTGCAAACCAAGACAAAACTAAGGCCACCTTAGCAATGACATCAAGCGTGACACAGTTGATAAGTTGAAGCATCTTGGCCTCTGTGTTATTATCAGCTAACTCTGAGAGCTTATCCATGAGTTTCTCTGCTCTCTCGTTAAAGGTCCCCATCAGACCTCTCAAGTACCTGAAAGCAAAGATATTTAAGAACAAAGAGACATCAACCCAAGAAGAAGCCTTGGAAGAGTGTTTATTCCTGTCAGATTTATTTTTATATCTTTTCCCTAAACAAAAAAATTCAGGGAATATTATTAGGATTAAATGTGATACACCAACAAAAAATAGGGCATAATCATAGGACATGAACCTTCAGAAGAAGGCTTGGCAAACAGAGTTTTGATCAGAGACGCAGGTCCATATTGTTTCTGGATGTGATCCACAGCTCTAGGTGTTAAAGTTGGTGACAGAACAAAGTCTCATGAGTCAACAAAGTCTAATCAGTCTTAACCTCTGAAAATGTGGCCTTTGAGGAGCAACATTTTAAAGAAAGCCATCATTGAATTAGCCATATTTTAGTAACCTCACGTTAATCGACGATGCCACTGACTTTATGTGTTCAATGTGTGAGACATGACCTCACCATGTAAATGATAGATGTAAATGGATGAAAACTTTTGTACCTTTTCTATATTTCTTTCTGTAACTCGTGAAAAAAAAGGATGAAAAACAGACTCTTTGGATTGCAAAGTTTTCTGACACTAAGAAAAAACCTACGTAAGCAGCCCATAGTAACGTTATAATAAATCAAAACATTTTTCTAAATCTTTAAACAAAGTAGAACCACAATAAATCTACTGAAGGAAACATCAGGAGGCATGTGCTCTGGTTATATAGATGATAACTGAACTTGTTCTGTCTAACCACTTACTGTATGCATAATCTGAAGCATAGTAGTGGCAGTATCAGCATGTGGGGATGGAAAAAGAACATATCTTCTATGCTAAGATCTAATAGTTCTCTTAAGTGCTTCTTTTTTGGTTGAGGATTATTAATAAATGCTTAGTTATCTTATATCTTGGGTTGGCTCAAACCTCATATAATAAATAGAGACTGATGACTCACAAGCTACTAAAGGCAGGGTCCATTATCCGGCGCTGTTTGTACCACATCTCATGATCCCGAGCTGTTATCAAGCCATTGCCAAAAAACCTTTTAAAGTTGAGAGATTAGTATCACAACAATACTTCCTTAAAAACTAGGCTGTTCATGTTAAATAAAGAGGTAAGAACAATCCAGACACTACCTTTGACCAAAAAGATTAAAGAGTTTTTTGTAGACATTTTTATCCTTGGTGTACTTTGGGGACATTAGGATTTCCTGAAACAAGAACCAATTAAATATTAAAGGAGCATTTACACACTTAATGTTTTATAATAGCAGGGTCTTCGTCTGCAGACACAAATTAAAGGTGCATTCCCTCTCACAGTGTTTCTCTTGCAGCTCTTAGATATATTTACCTTTGTTGCTTCTGGACACGTGATGCATATACTGACATAGTGCAGAAAGTTTATCCTACAAACATGTCCGTAAGTCTCAGACCTGAAAATAACACGTTTATAATAATTTCAAACTGGGAATAATAAATCTAGAGTATAAGCATATAGGATGTATTGTATATTAAACTATTAGTTAATTAAACATAATGGAGATTTGAAGTGACGCACAAATTCTGTCCTGAGAGCACAAAAAAATGCTGTGTAGATTCAGTCCTTACCATTCTAGGAATTTGTCATGCACTAAGCCATCTTTTTTCATTATCTTCAGAAGTGTTGGTGAATGGCCAAAAAAAAAGCTGTGTGAGAAAGAAAATGGAAAGAATGTTTGCAAAGAACAGCAGCAAACACAACTTGACTGTTTGGCTTACCTGTCCCTTGGTGGCCCTGGTATGTGGTCATATTTCATATGAATGTACTTAAGGTACAAGCAGTAACCCAGAAAGGCAATGAAGAGGAGAGAGAACAGGACAAGAAGGGCTTTGCAGAGCAAACCAAAAACTAGGTGGAAAAATGCCATTTTAGTGAACTCAGTCCAGGAGAACTGAAAGCTGTTCACAGAGAGTGAAAAAGATCAAATGTAGGTCCCTCCCTCCATACCAAAAAAAGTCTGAACAAAGTTCATGATGCATTTTACGTGCGTTAGGTGGTGCCAAAGAGAGGAAGTAGTTGCAGTTATAACATGTTCTTTTTCTCTCTTTTCTCAGTTTATTGAGAATGTAAAATAATACGGTTGGAACTTTGGAAATTACTTGTTTTTAACAAGCATTTTCTACAGCAAATGCAAATTTTTTAAAGTAAAAGAAACACCTTGTTTTAACAGAATCTGGGCTATTTTAAAAAAACGATAGTAAATTAACTTTAAAAAAATCTATCTACACTGAATCATTGTTCAAAAGATGTCACCTAATTATGTTCCTAGTTTAAATTCTAGTTCCTACACTATTTCTAATGAAGTAAATATGGACGTGCTCACCTGTTTTGATTTTGATGTTTAATAGCTCTCTAAAGTTTTATATGCAAATAACAGAAGAAAATGTCCTCCCTTATCAATGATGGTAGTCCAAGTATCAGATAAATATTCATTCTATGTGTTCTATTAATAATTGTAAATACAAAGTATGCTTCTAATGTAAAAACAAGCTTAATGTACACTGTATTCCCCAACAGTGCTATAAACTCAATACAATTGCTGAGCTGTACTCAAAGCTGCCATATTGTTCAGGCACCACAAATATTTTAAGTTCACTCAACTGGTTACCCGGTTATTGATTATTTTGACAAGATTAACTCTTAGTATATGAGTAGAACTGACCCCCAAACTCATTCCTTTCAAGAGTGGATTGAATTTACGTCTGACGTAATAATGACGTGCCAGTTCATTGGATAGGTTCATATCAACATGGCAATTAACCTAACAAACCAATATAAAAAAATACAAAAAATCGGATATCCCAAATGAAAGGTGGATGAACTATATGGAACCCCAAATGATTCATAATTAAATAAATAAATAAAAAATTCTGAAATAAAAACAATTTTGATAAATAACAAACAAATATATAATATGGTCATGAAATAAAAATAAGGTAATGTTATTATGAAATATATATTTTTATTCTTTAATATATTTGTGTGTTATTTATCAAAATGGTATTTATTTCATAAAGTTTTCAATTGATTTAATTATGAATCATTCGGGGTTCCATAGCACTAGTCTATGATCGATTGTGGTGAATGTAATCTGTTACAATTTGACATCGTAAGACTAGTTGTTTGCAGGGACTGCTGTGCAATCGGATGTAGGCAGGCAACAACATTGAGGAGATCATCAACAACATCAGGCTGCAAACCGTAGCCTCTGAACTCTGCACAAAAGGTAAGAACACGCTTGTAGGCTACTTTGTTTATTTATTTGTTTATCGTCTTCCAGCGGGCAGACCTCAGCTAAAGCGTAAGCTATGTGACAGAGACCTCCTGTGGGATATGTTTTTGCGAGGTAACTAAAGTTCGTTGTCTCAGCTGTGAGCCAGCTAGCCTTTTGCACTACTTTATTGGAAAACAGGACAGACAAACCTAATGGTTTTAGCACTACCAAATATCTTTTATCATCCGTTTCTGGTGTTAAGCCTACTACTTTGGCCGCGAAAATTATAGCCAGCCAGACGCCGAAGCAATGTTTCATAAATTGAGCCTATGATAGGAAGCCAAGTTGTATCTAAACTTGCCGACAATAGCCTAGCTTAGCATGATCACTGTCAATGTCTGATTCTGATAGGCAGTGTTAGGCAAGCTACTTGTCCAGTGTAGTGAGCTAAGCTATCAGTTACTCAACAATAAATTAAGCTTCACTACACCAAAGCTACCACCTAAAGAATTATAGCAAGCTAAGTTACACTAATGTGTTAACAGTAGCTTAACTACATCAGAAGCTACTTAACATTGTACCAAGCTAATGTCAATTCAAAATGAGTCTGATACACTGGTTAAAATATTTATTAAAAATCAGCCAATGACATAGCACAGTGTAAAAATTGTTTTATGATCAGCATAATAAATAAAAAACTAAAGTATTTACTAGTAGACAAGAAAATAAACAATCTGGTGTTATTAGAACCAAATGAAAGGTACTGTGTAGTGTTCTACACATGGAGACATGGCTATGAGTTTGCATCCAATGGACATCTCTAGGGAAAACAAAACCCTACAAAAGGCATCTTATTTCTTTAGGGTTTCCCTTAGAGAAAACTTCTTCAGACCTCAATTAAACAGTCGATTCAAGTAACAAATGAAACTGTTTACAAAAAGGTGAAAAAATAAAGAAGCTAATTAAGAGATATATATATACATTTATGTCTCACTGTATAATTTAATTTCTACCTACATATTTATTCATTGTATTTTGGGGGGTAATTAATTGAATGCCTATTTATTTATTGAGCATGTATTTATTTATGTATTTATTTTTATATATGGAAGAGCAGTTCCTCCATACCTAAAAAATCTTATCTGTGCAAATAAGCCTTAAAACAGATTTATGTAAACATCCTGTCAGGTAAACTAGGCTATGAAAATACAATATCTAAGTTTGGCTACTGCTCTCTAATGAGAATATCTTAGTGGCACTCATCAGACGTAAGAAACTACTAATTTGATTATTTGCTTCGATGTCGCAATACATCATACTTTCATAAAATCATGTAACATACTCTACCCTATCTGTGGACATTGTTATTTGCTAAGTAGGTGCTGGATAAACAAATAAAAGTGCTTTAATGTTGCTTTAAAGAAACAGACTTATCCTCACTAAAGATACCTGTAGCAGTTTCCGTTATCAAAATCGGACATGCTCTACAGCCAATAATATTTAGCAGTGTAGCCACCCCTCAGGAAGTGGTCTAACACACACACCCAGTTGTGAGGAAGTGCAATGATTTTAGCATAATTTAACCTATGGGTAGTGATGCCATGCTGCAGCAATATATAACTTAATGTCATTGTGACCAATTTTCTTTTTGCATTTTCAGATTTGTGCAGAATTCCATCGAATAACAAATATGAATTTAAAGAGTACATTTTATTCTGCATTTGATAAGTACATGCCATGGCTAATGACGATGTACCGTGAGACAGCGGCCCGCACTGGCAAAACTTCTTAATTGCTAAGAAACATCTTCAGGACCTATGATCTCCTTGTATGTAACATTACCTACCTCATGACAATTTGTACTATAGTATTATTTAATATATGCATATGATTAATATTCTGCTTATTCTGCAATTCTGTCTTCCCATTACCCACAATCCCTCACTCTTCTAGGAAGTTGCGATGTTAACAGCAGACGCACAATTGCTCTGCAGGCACTTCCCATCTTCCTGCGTGAAGATGCTGCTGGATTTTTTAAGACCTGGAATGTAAGTTTATGATTCAACTGTGTGTACTCTTTTACTCTTTCTTTTTCTTAGTTTGTGTATCTCTATAAATATATATTTTTTCTATTTAACCCTCTGTTACTGCCAAAAGACAACAACCACAACCCTCTTCCTAGCCACCAGAAAAGCTATTAAATCATACTGTACTACAGTAATTCTCCAAGAATGTCATATTTGGGAATTTTACCTGAACTTTTCATTCACTGGTATTTCATATTAAATACACATGTAGTGTTTTTCATTGACTGCTCTACTCATTAACTAATTACTGTCATGTTCTTTAGGCAGAAGACATTGACCTGCCAGACCTCTCGGATACAACTGTAGCTGTTCTCACTGTCTCGAATGATACAGTCTCCCTAGTGAAGTTTGGTCCTGCAATACATTCTATAGTTCTTGAGGGAGAGATTGTGGTATGTGATAAACTTTAGCACAGTTAACAGAGACATTCATTTTGCTTTTTGGCTTGATTTATGCACTACATCTACAGTATCCAAAGAAATTGACATATACATTCAATTTTATTCAGAAAGTTGTAATGGGTTTGGATTAGGGGTGCACCGATAAATCGGCCAGCCGATCGATCGGCCCCGATTTTTCTTAATTTAGGGTGATTGGTGATCGGCCGATATATACATACAAAACCGATCTTAACCACCGATCTATTTACCTCCGCGAGTGTCTTAAAATCAATTGCTATTCCATATTTTTTCTGCTCTTAGAGACGGCTGACTGAAAGACCCACTCACCGGGTCGAGTGAACTGTAACAACATCCGGTGTCGCAGTTCACAGGTCACCAGGAGCAGCTATGTCCTTGGTTTGGAAATATTATACTGTTAAAGAAGGAGATCAAAAGCTCGCAATTCTCAATTCTTGTAAGGCCGAAATTAGTCGGGGTGGAACCACTTCCAAAAGCTTTACTACTACAAACCTCGTTCGCCATTTAAGAAACCACCACGCCGCTGAATATGCAGCATTTGAAAAGAACAATCAAGCTAGGGCTAAAGCGAAAGCCACCGGAAGAAAAGAGTCCGTCGGTGGCCCGCTGTTAGCTCTTATGAGCAATTAAAAAAAACAAAGCTACTACGAGGAAACCTATCTCTCTGCCCCATGCACAAGCATTGAAAGTGAACACCTGTTTAGCTTGGCTGCACATGTCGTAGATGAGAAAAGAAGTCGCCTGAGTGGTGAAAAAGCAGAAATGCTTTTATCCATCAAGAAAAACCTGCCAATAATGCTCAAGTGACTCCAATAAGACTGTGAGATCAAAGCTTACCCCTGATAATGTTTTTAGAAGACTTAGTATTGTAAGATTTTGCAAGTTACTGTTTAGATGGCTTATACATTTAAATGGACACAAAGCTGCTGCATTGGGGGATTTTCTTTTAAGTTGCTAATATGTTCTCAAAGGACCTTGAACCTTGTGATTTTGTAAAAGCAAAATACTACTGTGCACTTTATTTTTGGTAAGTACCTTAAAACAGTTCTCTAATCTGATCTTTTGTTAAAGTTTTGTTTTTTGAAATGTAAAAAATCAAAAGACCAATTTTGTAGTCTTAAGTTTGTTTTATTTACTTAATATTTATTATTTAATTCATTTCTATGTCAAGGCTCTGCCTCATGGGCAGTTAAAGCAAGTTTATAATGGTTCAAGGCTATTGTTCAAGAAAAGATTTTAACATTGAAAGTGAATTGCGATCTTGTAACACAGTGATGGTTATAGCAAAAAAAATAATAAAATCGGTATCAACCAAAATCGGAATCGGCAGGTCAGACTTTTTAAAGATCGGTGATCGGAAATCGTCCAGAAAACTGCAATCGGTGCACCCCTAGTTTGGATGACCTGAAGCGGTTACCTCCAAGACTGCTTAGCCTTAAAAATGATCTGATGATGGATGAGTAAGCAGTCTGCTTAAAAGATGTCGTTGTTACTACCAGCATGGTGATACTCAAGCAACCATTTTGTCTTTGTTTTTTGTTTTCGCTTTTTTTATTTATGTTGGCCTATTATTTTTGGATCGGCCTATTATGTTGGCCAATTTTTCGTTTTTTGTGGATACAGAGAAGCTGATGTTTCAGAAGGCAGCTTTAAACAGACCTGCAGATTTGTAATTGTTTTTGACTTGATCATTTCAGTGTTTGGCTTGAGGTCCCAGAGTTTCGTACGGAAATGCTTTGGTCTGCCTTGAAGTCACTGGGAACTAAAAGATCTTTTACGGTTTTACTTGCTGAATAAATAAAACCGTATTTATTCAGCATTTTTATTGAAAATGTGGTTGTTATTTATTTTATTTTCTGTATTAACCCCATTGCTGGGGACATTGTTCTGAATTCTAATGGAATTCATAAATAAATGGAATCTGCAGTAAAATTGTCTTTTGAATATTTTTCTATTTGAATCATACAAATAAAATATATTTGATTTTGAGAAAAATTGCTAACATATACAGGCAATAAAATGTGTTTAAATACAGTTAAGTCAACTTAAAAATATAAAAAGCTGAATCGACAATGTTTAGGTCTGAGAAACTGAATGAGTCATGGTGATAACATGAAGATATTATTAGGGGTGATAACTTAAAAAAATCAACTCCGTTTCCAGTGTCAATTTTGTTAGTTTTAACATTAGTTTCAAAATGATCAGGTTCATTAAACTTATCAAAAATTTAAGTAGTGATTACTTAAAATGTTAGTTTGTGAAATTATGTTTCAGTTCATCAACTTCCTTAAAATAAATGAGTGTGAATAACTTTTCTAGTTTAGAGTAGTAATTACTTAAAATGTTTGTTTGTTGAAATTATTTTTTTTTATTCTTTTTAATTTTATCCTTGTCCTCAAAGATTTTGAGCACTAACAAAAGTCTCATTTTAAGTAGAAATTACTTAAAATATTCTTTAACATAGCTAAATATTTTGAGGTAATCAGTTTCATCAAATATTTTGAGTTCATTGAACCTGTTGGGGTTTATAGTGTACCTGATGCAGATACAGTATATCATACACAGTTGTTATTGATCTGAAGGTGACATACGGACGCTTTTAGAAGCAGACAAACATTTTAAAAGAGGATGAAAGACTTTGTCTTTCCTCTCTTCGTTTCCATAAATGTGTAAAGATCGGAAATATTTTAATTATATTAAAAAAGATTTTTTTAGAAGTGTTCAACCATACATACTGGAATACTTGCTGTAGTTTTTGACAGGATGCTCTCCAACAATGGGAAGGAGTTTCAGCTCTTCCTGTCCAAACCCAGACTCAAGGAAAGGTTCTGCTCAGAAACAAGGACGACTGACCCTTACTTCTTCCACATTAACAAGCTAAAGACTTCACCATTTTTAGTCGAACAACTCTTATACATGTTCTTTTATTTATAATTATATATTTTGTTATTGCCAAATTAAAATATATTTTTTTCTATAGTATTACTCATCATTTTGCAATTTTTTATGCAAAACAATACTTTAAACTTAATCTATTATTTGGATCCCCAAAAGTTTTAAATTTTGTCATGTTTTTTGGTTAACTATCTATGGAAAACCAGTTGATTGCATCAACTCAAAGGCAATCCCTCACACCAAACATGCTTATAGCAACAGTGGAGAGGAAAAACTCCCTCTTAACAGGGAGAAACCTCCAGCAGACCCAGGCTCAGTGTGAGTGGCCATCTGCCCGAGCCGACTGGGGTTCAAGGAGAAAGAAGAAGACATACAGAACGAAGCAAAAATACAAAGGAGCTTGTCAACCAGCTCCACAGGCGACCTAATCCAGGAAACACACAGCCAGGCAGACGAGCTCCAAGCCCACTCCCACAGAAACAGGACTACACTGAAAAACAGACCGATCTCAAATTTCTATAAACAAAGGTGTTGATGGAGCAGTCTAAGCCTATAGCAGCATAACTATAGAGATAGCTCAGGATAACCCGAGACACTCTAACTATCAAAAGTAAAGTTTTAACCCTACCCTTTAAAGTAGACAGGGTGTCTGCCTGGCAGACTAAAACTGGTAGTTGGTTCCACAAGAGAGGAGCCTGAACTAAAAGATCTACCTCCTATTCTACTTTTAGAAATTCTAGGAACAAGTAAGTCTGTAAATTGAGAGCAAACTGCTCTGTTAGGAACATAAGGAACAATCAGATCTCTGATATAAGATGGAGCTTGGCCATTTAAGGCTTTATATGTGAGAAGGAGGATTTTAAATTCTATTCTGGATTTAACAGGAACTCTAAAGCCAGACTGAAACTCTTCAAAAAGTTAATCATGGTGTCACACTCTTGTTTGGAAACAATTTTCTCAAGAATTTTAGATAAGAAAGGAAGATTGGATATAGGTCTATAATTGACCAAGTCATCTGGGTCAAGGGACGGTTTCTTAAGTAAAGGTTTAATTACAGCAACCTTAAAAGCTTCTGGTACATATCCCTTTAACAGGTATCGATTAATCACATCTAAAATGGAGGAGTAGATCAAAGGGAATACTTCCTTAAAAAACTTCCTTCTTTGGAAGTAGATCTAAAATACAAGTTGAAGGCTTTAATGAAGACAATAGTTTTGCTAACTGAAAGTTCAACTGGATCAAAGTAGTCTAAACCCAGCTCAGAATCTATGGCTACCTCAGATGCTGCCATACCTTCCAGAGAAAAACCAATCATAGTTAGAGGAGTGTAAAATCAATCTTATTTATAAAGAATCCCATAAAATATTTACTGTTAAGAGCTGGTGGGATAGATGGTTCAACAGAGCTATGGCTCTGGGTGAGTTTGGCAACTGTAATAAAAAGATATCTAGGATTGTTCTTATTATCCTCTATTAATGAGGAAAAATATGCTGCTTTTGCTTTACAAAAGGTCCTCTTATACAGCAGTAAATTATCTTTCCAGCCAGCTTTCTATTTTTAAAGTTCTTCATTTTCAAAGGGGCTGCATTGTCTAAGGCAGTACGCAGAGAACTAGCAACACCATCAACAAAATCATCAACCTGTGAAGGGGAATAAACTAAACTTTTGCCCTCTGCAGCACTGCTCAATGACACAGAGGAGAGAGAAGTGAAACAGATTCTTTGAATTGTATAACTGCATTATCTGATTATGACCTGCTAAAGTGAAACCTTCTTTTGGGGAAGGAGAACTCTGTTAAAGTAATCCTGAAGGCTATTAAAAAGTTGTCAGAGGGAACAGAGGTTGTGAGGAAATTCTGTTATTTCTTCAATGCCATATATATCAGCACAAGGTGCAAAGTATGAAGATGAATGTGTTGGAGTATTCGCATTTTGAACTAAGCTAATAGCATCTAGGATAGCATTAAAAGGCTATCACTTTCAATGCCATCATGGAATTTAAAATCCCCCACCAGGATGACCCTGTCAAATTTCAACGCCAAATTAGATAGCAACCATGAAAACTCACACCAAATCAGATAGGAACTCTGAAAAGTCATCTAAAAATTTAGAGTAAGGACCTGGTGGATGATACAAAGTAAAAAAGAGAAGAGGTTTTGTGGCTTTGCAATTTGGATATGGGAAACCAAGGGTTAAATGTTCAAAAGGG